AATTTATGGTTTGAAACAAAGCGGAAGAAATTGGAACGATGCTCTAGATAATTTTCTAACAAGAAAGGGTTTCGAACAATTACGATCATCAAATTGCCTATACCAACAAGGTTTTTGCACATATTTAGTCGTTTATGTTGATGATATTTTGATTTTTTCCAGGTACAAAGAAAAGGCTAACGAAATAGTACAAATAATCGGACGAGAATATGAGATTAGAGATCTAGGAGAGGTTTCTTACTTTCTTGGAGTTGGAGTTGAACGGAATTCAAACGGAGTTTCACTTAACCAAAGATCATACATAAAATCCATAATACGGCGTTTTGGCATGGAAGAATGTCGACCGGCAAATACACCTTTGGAACCAGGAATACAACTAATCAAAGATGATTCACTCGAGAACGAACAAGAAAAAAAGAAAATGAAGAACGTTCCATATAGTGAATTAATCGGTTGTCTTAGTTATATTAGTCAATGTATGAGACTGGACATTACGTTTGCTGTAACTAAATTAGCTCAATATTCATCAAAACCAAGTCATATTCATTGGTTAGAAGCAAAAAGAATAATTAGATACTTAAGTAATACTTTAGATTATCGTCTAGAATATAAGGTCAGAGAAACAAATGTCGAGATTTGGACTGACGCAGATTGGGGAACCGACGTAGATGATAGACATTCTTTTAGTGGCTTTATGACTGCAATAGGAAAAAATATTAAAAATTGGAAAGCGTCAAAACAAAAATGTATTGCGACATCAACTATGGAAGCCGAATACATTGCTTTGTCAAGTGCAGTAAAAGAGGCTAATTGGTTTAAAATGTTCATCGAAGAATTACAATTGCACGAATGGATAACAACACCATATGTAATGTATTGTGATAACAAAACAATTATAAATTTTGCGAAGAATCGTATAGAAAAATCTAAAACTAAACACATAGACATAGCGTATCACAATGCAAGAGAAGCTATAGAAAATGGTTTAATAACTGTTAATTACATACCGAGTTCAGAGAATATTGCGGATATTTTAACTAAAAAATTACGAAGACTACAACATCAGGGTTGCGTTGAACATATATGTTTATTGAAGAAAATTTAAAGTGGGGGATTGATGAAAGGTTAAATTTCCCGCGTTATTACATCCCCGTGACATCAGCGTCATTAAGGTTCTGTTTTAGTCACGGTGTAAGAATATAAGGTGATTTCACGATCATTGTATTCTATCAAAAAATCTGTGATCAAGATGTCATAGTTAAGGCATGTCACACAAGATGTCACGTTGGTGCAAGATCCCAAGTAAAAAAGAATAGAAGATGTGGATAGATGTGGATAGAAAAGGATAGATGATAAATCTCTAAAGCACATCTATATATAATTATAATTCTAAATAATACAAATTTTTAAAAATAAAACTTTTAACATTGTATATAAAAATATATATTACTGACAAAATATTTTTTAATTTTTTTATAACAAATTATTCTTAGTTAAATTTGCAGAAAATATAATTAATAATGTATTCCAGTCTTTATAGAAAATTAAGTTTCTTTAAGAAAATGAATATTTATAATTAAGTTCCGCAGGACAATAAAATTTTAATAAAATTTCTATATATGTATATATATATATTTAAAGTCCCTCAACACGTAGCCACCTAGCGATTCAATGTGGAACAATGACGGGAAAATCACAAAAATTTGTTGCCGTGAAATCACCTTATATTCTTACACCGTGGTTTTAGTAGTAGAGTCGCGGAAAGCGATTGCGTCATACAGTTTCTTTTAATTTTATCGTTCTTCCTACGTATAAGTTATCACATGCACCTAAAGTGCATCAAACATTGTATTTACTTTATTTACATTGTATTAAGTATACCAAGTAAAAGTGCTTTTTGTTCTACGAATATTATTCGTTAATACTTATTCACAACATGTGTTAAAGAAAGTATTGAATATATACCGAATTTAAATTGATTTTTTGAATATAATACTGAGAGAGTAAATCGAGGTTAAAAAATGTAGTCATCTTTTACATATGCAGTAACGTATTTTATATTTTAAAGATATATTTAATACTAAATAATATATAAAAATATGTAACATACGAGGGCTGTATGATAAGTATCTGTGTTTAACGACAGAAAGCATCATTGACTCAAAGTCTGTATACCATCGTTTAACGTCATCTTCTAAACGACGTCAGTCAAAATTTCAAACAGATTTATCGAGTAGTTTTGTTTTGACAACTGTTGAAAGTGGACAAGGTTGTGTTTGTTTGCAACCATGGAAAAAGAGCAATATTGGTCAGTGATTCGATTCCTTTTTTTGGATGGGAAGACGTGTGAGGAAATCAAGGTGAAGTTGCATGTCGTTTATAAGGACCATGCACCTTCGATGACTACCATCAGATATTGGTTCAATGAATTTAAGCGTGGCCGAACATCCGTTTTTGATAAAGAGCGCCCAGGTCGTCCGATTGAGGTGACTACGGAGGATATGGTCAACAAAATCCATGATATCGTGTTAGCAGACCGCCGGGTGAAGATCAGAGAGATTGCTGACATTGTAAACATCTCAATTGAACGCGTACAAAATATCCTACACGAAAAATTGGGCATGAGAAAGCTATCGGCGAGATTGGGTGCCGCGTTTGCACCAAAAAAAAACGCACCAGCTCATTCGTCCGCAATCGCCACTGCAAAACTGGTCGAATTACGCTACGAATTGCTGTCTCATCCACCCTATTCTCCAGATTTGGCTCCCTGCAATTTCTATTTATTTCCAAACATGAAAAAATGGCTTGGCGGAAAGCGGTTCACGTCAAACGAGGAAATCATCGCCGAAACAGAGGCCTATTTTGCGGAGTTCGACAAATCATATTTTTTGGATAGTATAAAAATGTTGGAATATCGCTGGATTAAGTGTATCGAGCTGAAAGGAGACTATGTCGAAAAATAAGTAAAAAAAATTTTTTTTTAAATGCGTTTTCTTTCCTAACACGGGTACTTATCATACAGCCCTCGTATATTAAACTATTGTTCTTTTCAAAGAGTCATTTTTTTATTTATATGTCTATCGAAAGTATCAAGCGCCTCACAAGTAATGTTCTTTCCTGCATATGAAAGTTTCACATGTAAATATAATTTTATAAATAATTTAATTAGTTGATATTTGTGATTCTCTAGAAAATCTAAATCTCGAACGTGTAAATCAAAATTAGTAAAAAGGTTATTGATTGTTAAATTACGCAAGATATCTGCCATCATTTTTTTAAATGCGTTTTTAGATTTTAAATTATCTTTTATTCTATAAAGATTAAAAACCTTTTCTATCCCACTAGTCAGTACGTATGAATCTTGTCTTGGATAACGTAGAAATCCGAAACTTTTCTATAATTTGTAAGATATAAACGTGAATATTATTTAATATTTTAAAATTATACAAGCCAATACATACCCAAAAAATTGCAAATTTGTATTATCTGCTTCGTGTTGGCGCTTATATTTGGTACTTTTGCACCCTTCCACAAAACAATAACGACTCATTTTACTTAATTTTATCGTAATAAATATTAAAAACTTGTCAAAAACACTCGTCAACGCAACAAAGTTTTGTTGGATTTTGCTAAGAGACAACTGTGAGATTTAGGTTATGTTCGCTTCAGTTCTTGGGTAATGGCCATGGTGGCGCTGTTCCAATGTTATGATACTTACAGCAAAATTTCGGGACTAGCAGTCCATATTTCTATAGTCAAAGGGCTGAACGGGCTCGAACTGGCATCACTGGCTACGCATGAACTTGGCGCTAGACAAGTCTCTTAATTACAGTCCGTGCAGTGATGCCAATTTGAGCTTGCTGGCACCATGAGTATCGTAGTGGAAGGGATATTCATGGTGCCAACTAGCTCGAATTGGCATTACTGAGTCCGTGCGAAAGAAAAGTATCGTGAAATCTGATCAGAACGTAACAATAAATCAGATTTTAAGTAGAAAATATTTATCTTATTTACAAACATTATATTTTTTTGATAGCATGAAACCAAGAAAGAATACAACATAATTTATTTTAAACATACATTTAATTGCAATATTTACAGTGTATTTTAAAACATTGTAATTACAAAAATACTCTTGCGCATCTCACACATGCAATAGTAGTCCTAAAGATACCTCCCCGAGAAGATATTACACATATGCATATGTACAATATATATTTATATATATGCATATCTCACGTTACAGATAATACTTTCATATTTCTCTGCAAGCGCTATTTATATTAAACTCATCAAATTAAATATATGATACAGTTACAATTATTGCAATATAGTGAATCCTTGATTTTACGGACTCCTATTTTCGGATAAAATTTTGAGAAATCCGGACAAAATCTGAGAACTTCAAAGATATTTAGAATTTAAACGGCTCATCAATAATTCGTAAGATAACCAATAGACAATATACATTGGTTAGGGTAGAAGACAAGCGCATCCTAATAGTATTGCTGTATGAGCCATGTTAATAGCCCAACACATCACAAATCAGCGTATTTGAGCAATAACATGGTAACACAATAGTCGTTTCACTAATTGTATTTAACTTCGGAAAATTCAGACAATCAGACCATTGTTCTCCCCTATTAGTCTGTAAAATCAAAAGTCTACTACATATTAAGAGATTCGAAAACACTTATTTATTTCGTTACTATATTGGATCTTAATTATGGTTGTCATTTATGCAAAGATAATATCATCGAGTTGACAATATGATCATGTCAACATTGAATGTACGCGTAATTCTCATTCGTACTTTATTTAAAATATTATTTTTTTGACAAGAACGGTTATTTATTTTTCGGCAATATAAAAATTAAAAAATCTAAAACTAACCAAAATAGAGATTTTTAAAGACAGAAGAATTCAGTTATACATTTTAATGTAATTTATATTAATGTTTTCCATTTTTTAGTGAAAAATAAATCTTGCAGTAAAATGAATTTATTATACTACAAAATTGAAGAAATCTTTAGCAATATAAGTTACTTAACAATTATTTGTGTATACAATAATACTATTATATTTAACTCTTAACTACACTGGCGGGGTACAAACGTACCCCACCGCACACAATTACGCAAATATTTCTTGCGTGGCACAAGCGACGTTGCTGCGCCTCCATGTATTCTCAAAAACATCAACTTTTAACATTTCAGTTAAAATTTTTATCAAAATTTGGAGTACAAAACTACCCCGCGGGTGTAGGTGTAGGCTAGATTTGGCCAGTGTAGTTGAGAGTTAATATTGAATAAAAAAAGCATTGATTTAGATATTGTATATTATTAACTATTATTATTGCGTTCAATTATTTTTTGCGCATTTGGGCTTAAGCGGTAATAAGGTGATTGATATTGCAAACGAAAATAGTCTAATTAAGAACTTGTTGAAAACATTCCGATAATATTTTGACGATATTCCATTTATATTTTAAAAATATTCAATATCTTGAGAGAAAATCCTTTCTCGTTCGAGATTAGTACGTGATGTGTCACAATATATACTGTTATATAATAATATAATCACATATTTTAATTGCATTATGCAAACACATCTTCAAGTATAGTATTACATATTTAATTTCTTGAAATGCTATTCTTGTAAAAAACATTTTATTATAACATTATCATTTTCATTGTAACACATGAGATGCCATTTTATCCAATTAGAGAAAATACAAAAAGTCGTTATATAAGAGAGAAAATAGGAGATTAGTATCCATCTCTAAAAACTTCCGTGTTTGCATCTCAAGCCAAGTTCGTCTAAATTTTCAAACGAACGGCCAGCTCGCGTGATTGAGGACGCGGTCACCTTCACTCTCGAGCAATTATCTGACCCGGACGTCGTGCCGGTATCCTGCGTCGAGGTGCCAGGAGACTACTCAGGCCATGTGTCTCTTCGTGCTTCGTGCTGGCCGCTGTGCTAGTTTCAACGAAGATTGTTTCGGTCGGCTCTATTTCGCCGGTCGACGTGGCCTCTTCCTCGACAGAAACGGAGTCCTCTTGACTCGATTGGATCGCCGGCAACATCTCCGTTACTTTGCGTCGTGGTAGCAGCGGTGATCTTCTGATCGCCGGTGGCAGCGATGGTGATTTTGTTGTCGTCTTCGGTTGGACTTGTAGTCGATTACGACTGCGCAATTTATTTAAGGGATTTGGCGTAGTTGCGCGCGCTTGTGGTTGACTGGTTTCCACTGGTGCCTGAAAAACGAAAGATTATAAATATATATTTAGTAAATATTAAATATATTTATCAACAGTTCATAGGCATTCTTTATAGATAATGATAAATTCTCTCAATAATTTGAAATTGATTTTTAACGGAAATATCGAGAAAGAGCATCATTTATTCTATTTTTATTTTTTAACGTTATATATTTTTGAAACTAAAAATAAATTTAAAAAATTTAATAGATATAATAAAAAAGATATTGAACCACGTAAGTTGTTCGTGCTAATAATTACAATCTAAACCATTACTATATATACTTAATTTCAGTCAACAATTTGACCCTTCAGTCCATAAATTAATAATTTACAACGTATACAAAGAGAAATCCTACGTTCCAAGCTCGAATGTCTAATATTCTTATCAGTGTGAAGTCAAACAGTAAAAGAAAAATTGTAAATAAAAACGCACGCAATAGTTTCAATTAGATATCCATTATATCTAATAATGTCACGCAGTAAAACTATAAAAATACGCTAACAAAATAATGTATTCGATAGGTAAAAAAAAATTAAAAAGAAAACATATTTGATTTTAATGAAACATGATGTAAAAAATTAAGACAAACGTATTCTCGTTGCCAATGTTTGTTGTTAAGAGGCGAGAAAACAACTGTAAGCGACGAGTATAAAGAATAATCAAAGAAGATGAAACATAAAAAGAAAAGATAGGATTAATAATAAAGGGAAGGAAAAATTTAGAAAATAAATTTTTTTTAAAGAAAGGTAATAAATTAAGGATCGGAAGGAATAAAAAATGAGTTCAGTATCACTTTGTTTATTGAACGATTCTGCCGTTTAATGTGAACCATTTCAGAAATTAGCTCTTTATCCTAAAATCGCTCGTCCAAGATTTGTATTGATATTGTCTCAATCAAATTCATAGTTGGTGTTTAATCGATGGTTAAAAATAACCGAAAGGAAGCACTTTTTTTAATATCAGCCTGATGCTCATGCAATCCTGTCTTAAGTTAGCTTTTAGTTTGCTTAACATAAATAGCATCATAATCACAGTAGGCAATTTTATAAATCACACCGCAATGCAACACCTTATCTAATTTATCTTTACGTATTCTAATGAAAGTATTAAATCTGTTGGCTCTAGAATAAGCTATTTTAAAGTCATGCTTTTTAACTATCGGTACAAATTTTTTGAACACAGTCACATACGGTGAAATACGTTTTGTTCTCAGATAAATTAGCATTAATTAAAAATTTTAATTGATAATTTTATTGAAATCTACTTGAAATTAATTGAGGAAATAGAATATAGCTGTTATTTATTTTGTGAATTACTAAAGCTTATATATATAGTTCGTAAAAACTGTTTGTTAAATCATTTATCACTCGAAAACTATCGATACCACAATACTCTCGCTTTAAAAAATTAAGAATTTGTTATTAAATTGATATCCACATATTTTCCAATATTTTCTTTAGGAAGAATAAGTTTGAGTAAGCTGCTATGTATTTCTAGACATATTTTCTTTTTATATTTTTCTTTTTTGCCTTTTCTATCTCGTTCTTTCGCGTGCTTATCAATGCTTCGCATTTTCTATTCATGACGACGAGGTCATAAAAAATGTTCGAAAGGTAAAAAGTGGTTTCGTGCCGTCTCCTACCGGTTCTTGTTGATGACATTTTGAAAGGCCATCTAGTGAAAGTGAACGTCGAGAGAGAACTTTATCGAGTGACATCATCATGGTATCCTCATACCTAATTTTGCAGAGTATACTTCGACCATGTATACAGATTATATACACGTATTTGAAGCATAATTTTAAATTTGACCTTATCTTTGGTACGCGGAATCATTCGTCGATCGATATCTACATAATTATATAGCTTGTTCGATAATGTCGCGTTTGTGAGATAGTATCAGTATACATATATATCTATTGAGTTAATTAAAAAATTATTTTATAATTATTTTATCATAAAAAAACTTAAAGCTTTTAAAATTATTTTTTAATAAATGTTTAATAATAAAATAATTTTGAAATCCTAGTTTTAGAATTAAATTAAATATTGACCTCGTGAGTCTCCTCCTCGGTTCCCTCTCCGGCCGGCTCCTCGACAGACGTTTCAGAAACTTCCGGTGCGAGTGTCGTCGTAGTTGTTTGTCCCGGTTTCTGCCTCAGATTAACTCTAGCGCCCGGTCTGATAACAGGTCTGATTGCAGGTGTGTTAGAGAGTCTCACGCGAACAACAGATTTTGGAGCGCTCGTTACGGCTTCCGATGCGATCTGCGCAGCGGTTTGACCAATCTCAGAATGTGTTGCCTCCTTGGGTTCTTCACTGCCCGGTGCAGCCGTGGTCGGTCGCCCGCGTCTTCGATTAATATTTTGTTTGTTGAAGGTGGATCGTGTAGTACCATTTGACACTGTACCACCATTCAAAGGCGCCAATGTCGTTGCTGAGATAGTGGTTTTGCCGCCGGAAGGTACACGGAATCTACTGCGGCCATTTGATAGTTTCTCCGTGTTTACTAAACTCGAGGTTTCTTTTTGCACGGTATCTTCTTCGATCGGTTTGTGATTACCGGTTGGTCGAGGTCGTTTGAATCCACTGCCATTTAAGCTACCGCTACCGAAGCGTCCCCGGGTTTTCTGCGTTGATTCTGATGCGGATGCTTCGGTAGTTGTGCTAGTGCTGCCATTGGACTTGAATCTGATGAAAAAGGCATTATTTTGTAATTTTTATTTTTTGAAAAGAAATGTTAATCCGATAAAGAATAGAAAAGATATGAATGACAATTAAAAATATCTCTTTATACTTAACGGAATGAAATTAATGATAAGTGAGATTTTATGTGTAGATAGAAAGGAAAGAAGATAAAAAAAGAATATATATTTCTCAATAACTAATTAATGAGGATTTGTGTTAATTATTTATATAATAAATATATAAAAATTATGTAAAAATTGTATAAATATAAAAAAAGGTATTATTTATAGGTTGTATTTATACAAATGTACCGATTTCTCGAGATAGCTGGACCGCTGATTCCGGGTCGTCGGAATTTCCCTCTTCCCACGGTAACTTGAGTGGTAGTGGTCGATGGTTCTATGGTAGTCGTAGTTGTAATTATTGGTTCGGTTGTTGTCGATGTCGTTGTTGTATTAGTGGATTCCGCAACGATCGTAGTACCAGTAATATCCGTTGTTGTTATCAAGTCGGTCGTGATTTCATCGTCAGGCAGCGTTGTGTTGTCTCCTGTTTCGCTAGTTTCACTACTAGACGCGTCTATCAGGTTGTTTTGTCCTTGTTGCAAGAAAGCGTAAAGATCTAAAGCAACCTTGTCCATGATCGACGAATATTCCGTCGTTGGGTTGTCCGTAGTGTCAGTAGTGATACTGGGAACGGACGAAATTTCGGTAAAATCTTCTCTTCTTGCCTTGTCTTCTAAAATTACATGTTTATTGACAGATCTTTCTGGTGCAGCATCTTCGTCGCTTTCTTCATTGGAGAGTATCGGTTGACCTCTGCTTAGTTCCGTTCCAGTCTAAAAATGTGTTTGTATGTGTAATTTAGAATTTTCTTACGTGGAGTATCTATTTAAGAGAAATTGTCAATTATAAGAGAAAGTGTCAATTATGATGAAATTACAGTGAATAATTACACTAGTTTACAAAGAAAATTTTTTAAAAATTATTTTGAATTAGACAAGGTGTTTTTTATAGATTTTTGGATGCTGAAAACGATGCCGCAAACCAGATCAGAATTTCAAGATAACTTTAACCTTTCTTACGAAAAAATATCAAATATCGCAAAAAAACCCATGTTTTACATATTAAACCTCAATTATTTTGGAATCCTGACGCTGGTGCTGATGAAATTTGGTTTGCGGCATCGTTTTTAGCATCCAAAAATCTATAAAAAACACATTGTTTGGTTCAAAATAATTTTTGACTGTAAACTAGTGTTATCTTTTCTAATGAGATATCTGGTTCAATTTAAATTAAAATATTTATTTTTATTTAGTTCAAGTTTCCGATATTGACTAATTTTTCTGGAAAATTGTATCAAAAAGTTTTTAGTTGTGAAATATAATTTAACATCTGTTCTGGATATTTAGATTCATAATTTTTGTGCATTTGATTTGAATTATATAAACATCAATGTTCCCACTTTTGATATTGGAAATTTGATATATCAATTGAACATATCTACATTCAAAATTTGATTGTCGGGAGAAACTATAACTTAACTTTTAAATAAAAAATCAATTTTATTAAAGCAATTAATGAAATAGTTTTGATAAAATTCAGTTAATTACCTCAAGCATAGGACGTCTTCTAGTAGCAGGTAACGGTGCGTCGTCGATTACTTCTTCGACAGGAGCTGGTTCTTGAGCTCTTTGTGGTTTTCGGGCTCTGATCAATGGTTTCTCTTCAAGGTCCTCGTTAGGAGTAACACCTAGAAATCTAATAGGTCCTTTCGGTAAAGTTTGCGGAAATTCAGGACCTTCTTGGTGAGTTCGGAAACTACTGGAATCAACTAGATCCAAATTTGGTCGTAGTCGATTGCTACGCGCTCGTGAGGGTTCCGTTGTGCCTGTGTTGTGATTTGATCGCGATCTGTTAAAAAGCAAACATATAATTAATTAATTTTTTATATCGAAACGTAGAATTTTCTGTGGCAATAAATGCACTTATTTATTTATTATTTATTATTAAATACACATTTATTTTTAAGATAATATACTTTATTAAATGTGTGGTAAAGATTGAGATTTAATAAATTATTGATTACAATAAATACCGTGGTGGGAAACGAGTGTTCGCGGGTAGCCTTTCTTCAGAAACGTCTTCAGTTTCGACTAATTGTCTGCCCCTGTTGCCACTTCGGTTTGGTATAACCTCGTTATTGCTAGACTCCATGGTGCTCGATCTTTCCACAGGGTTATACTTGCTTCTGTTACTAGTGTTACTTCCTCTTCTAGGTACGGAAGTTGTTCTAGAAGGAATGTCGTAAGAATTCGTCACCGCTGAGCCCGCTGTGTTTGCTTTATTTTCATCCTCCTCGTCGTAATAATAATACACGTATTCATATTCGTAATCTTTGCCATTTGGTCCTTTCTTCACCTGTTAGGTGTAAAAGAAACACAAAGTGATCAAATATTAAATGTAAAATTGTGAAACAATGTCTGGAAAAAGTTTAAATAAAAAAAAATTTCGACAGAAATATATTCAAAATTTTATTTATGTATTATCTTTTAAAATGTTCAGAAAAATAATTATATTTTTATCAATTAGATTAATAAAATTGCCGTTGCCTTTAAGCTTTTAAGACATAAAATACATATTCTTGAAACATAGAACATTTTTTTATACACATCTTTTTTAGTTATTGTTTAAATTATAATATAGAAGCATTTTGATATTATTTTTATAACAATTATTTCCAAAATTTTAATAAAAATAATATTTATTAAAAATAATTTCTGAGAATTTAAAAATAATATTATATAAGTTTATGTAAGATTATATAAGTCTTTTACAATTTGTAAAAGATTCTCGTTATATGCATTTTAATTTATTATATTAAACATGTGGTTATATACAAGGTGGTCAATGCAACTGTGTTGGGTTCTGGCACCTGTAGGAGATAGAAAAAAGGTAAAGACAATAGTTGAATGACATGACAAGACAAGTCAAAATAATCATTATTTACGTTTAAACATTTTATTATCTTACTGAAAATATATTCGCGTTTATTTGTTTCCGTTGGTTGTTTCTTAGAAGAACGGATTAAAATATATTTTTTACACACAAATATAAATATGATCATCCTGATGCTTGATGAAGAGTGATGAAGAATATGAAGAGTATGGAGTGTATAAAGAAATTGATCACAAAATGTTTGTGACACAGTGGAACGTTCAAATATCATTTTGAATAAAGCATATACCTCACTCAAAAATTTCAAATATTTCGTAAAATATTTACTTTTCGAGCACTTTACCCTAATACCTTTACACACAGAATATTTAGAAAAACCTATTTATGTACAAAAAAAAATTTTATTTTATTTTTAAAAAAGTGCAATTGCATTTCTTTGGTGCATCATTGCGCCTACAAAGGAAATGAGTTCATAGAAAAATATGTCTTGTTATGCCATTCAACTTTTGTCTCTACCATTTTTTCTATCATCAACAGAATAATTACTAGAATCCGATTCAGTTGTGTGAACATCTTGTATACAATTTAAGTATAATATTTATAATGTACCTGAATACGAGAATTTGTACCAGCCGGTATTAAACTCACGTCGCCCAAATCGCCAAAGTTCGCATCAGAGAAACGCGCAAAGCCATCTTTGTTGTCTTCTCGAATAATATTTACAGGAACAAAATCGAAGGGACTATTCTTATTACGTGCTTCACGTGGAGTTGTCAGAATAGGTAACATAGTTGTAGGATATTCCGCGCTAAAAGTGTATAAATATAGCATTATTATTAAAACAAAGAAAATTTTCAAAATTTTTTTGTGTACATATTATATAGAGTCATTATACAGTATTGCATATATCTTTTTTATGCCATAAAAATATGTAGGAATATTAAAAACATGAGTGCATGTGAGTGAGAGAATGAACGACGGAGACCCCTATTAAGTTGGATCCCCCACCATCGCCAAATCAAGTCGCACCTATCAATTAATTTAGTGCTAATTATGTGCTAATTAGTTGCCGCAATCCGGATTTTGTTGCTCTTACCGTTTAGCAGGAAATCACGTTTAAAGTGTGGGAGGGCGGGGGGCAGCTTGACATTAAGCTGTCCCCTCCCATATCAAAAAAATATATAGAATGCTCGAATCAAAAAATCATTTATACCAGAATTTGTTGCTATTTTGTTGCTCTAAGATAGCGTGAAAACATTTTGAAAAAATTGTATTATTTACAGTAAATGCGTAGTGTCGTATAGTGGTGTATACTGGTATATCTTAAATAATGCAATTTTTTCAAAATGTTTTTACGCTATCTTAGAGCAACAAAATAGCAACAAATTCTAGCATAAATAATTTTTTGATTCGAGCACTTTATATATTTTTTCCGCTATGGGGAGGGCTAACTTAATATCAAGATAGCTCACTTAATATAAACATCAATTCTTGCTAAACGACAAAAGCAACAAAATCTGGACTACAGCAACAAATTAGCACATAAATAGCACTAAATTAGTAATAATAAATTAATTAAAAGATGCGAATTCACTTGACAATGGTTACGCTGCACCATGTCATGTACATGATCTAAGTAAAATTGACTAAAAGAAATTTGTTGTTTGTATGATTTCGGTATCAAATTAATTTACAGACTCTGTACTATCGAAATATATAAGAAATATATAAGAAATTGAATTTGTTGCTTGTTCTAAAGTATTGAGAAGCGATACTTTGTCGTCGCGGACCGGTACGGCGCGGACTAAAAACGTTATAATTACTTTAAAAAATTTGTTGCTCGTATGTTTTTGGTATCAAATTAATCTGCAGAGTCTGTACTATTGAAATATATAAGAAACTGAATTTGTTGCTCGTTCTAAAGTATTGAGAAGAGACACTTTGCCGTCGCGGACTCCGAATGACGCGGACTAAAAACGTTATAATTAGTTAAAAGAATTTGTTGCTCGTATGTTTTTGGTATAAAATTAATCTACAGACTCTGTACTATTGAAATATATAAGAAATTAGCTGCCCCCCCCCCTCGTATATTCCACAAATATAAATAATATTAAGCTGATACAATATTTTACAGAAAGAAAATATATTTTTGTATTTTTCTGAACAAAAATGGATTAATTAAAATGCTTCATATTTTTTTATACGAGTAAAAATGCAAAGAATTTACTGGAAAATCATAGGATTTAACAGTTGAACAATCAAGCACCAGATACCGTTCTAAATGATCAAAGAAAATAAATTTCCAAAAGAAAATGTGAAAGATAAATCAATATTTTTAACTTTGAGAAATATATATGTAGGAATGCGAATGTATAAGTGTATGTAAATGTATTGATGAGCAAATGGAAAGAATGAGCGGAAGAGATCTGAGCGTATGACGGAAGTGATTGAAGTGTGCGGTATGACTGTCGGCGCGAGAATAAAGCGAGAAAAAACGCGAGAGTGGCGTAGACTAAAGATTGCCGAAGTCAACACAATCACCGAAGAAGCGCAAATGTATGAATCTGTGAATGCATGTGTTTCTATAAAAGCGGGCTTCCCAAAAGCCAAAGAAGAGAGTCTGAAACTGACTATTGTAGAGTGCAGATCGAGCGAGATTATTATAAAGCGAGAACGTTTCTTAATTTCCTCATTTTAACCTAATAAATCCCACATATATATAAATTGTACATAATATATCATATATAATTTAATAATTAAAAATTGTTTTTTGATAAATTATAATTGTATAATAAAGTAAAATAAGACAGCAAATTTAATCTTTCAAACGTTTTAGTATTAACACAAGGATTCAATTAATCGTGTTTATTAACGATTACTATAAACGATTACTATAAACGATTATAAACGATTGTCTCATTATCAGTGTACTTTATTTATTGAAGTATTTCGTAATTAAGCGAGCTAAGAAAATATTTTACCTGACGTAGACTCCCGGAATAATTTCATCCTGTTCGCTCGGTCGTGGCCCGTTAGAGTCAACTTTCTTTATTCCTTTTTCCTGCAAAATCTTTCCTGTATCACTGAAATTTTCGAGCTCGACTCGCGTTTGTCTTTTAGGGGTGAGAATCTCCAGATCATCTTCTTCAGCCGAGTCGAAACGTCTGACAGAATCGAAGGTAGCCATTTTCTTCTCGGTATTCTCATATTTCTGAATAACTTTTTTAGTATGCTTATTGTCTTTAAGCGCAACTCTTTTGTCATCAATATACTCATCATCGTCATTCAATGGCTTTGCTGCATTTTCTGGCAATTTATGCGATGTTACAAATTCTGAAAATCCATAAAAATTCTTAGGTTTTTGATCAATTGTCAAAAATTCCGAAAATGATATTAAAGGATTTTTGGTTGATTGTAAAATCTGAGAAATTTATAAAAACTTATGAGTTTATTTTATTTGTTAAATTAATTTGTTCTATATTTGTGACGGTGATTATATGAAAGTGAGCAAATAAAGTGAGTCACATATTTTTAATTTTGAGATATTTCGATTATTGCGTTTGTATGTACCTATTAAAAAATATTTTTTTTTAATGAAACAACATATTTTCGGGAACACTTATTCCAATAATGTAAATTTCTTCCGTGCTTGTAAATTTTTCGAGTAGCTTATAAGAAAATATGAAAAATAAAAAATATGAAAATATGATAATTGAATTTTATTAAAAAACAAATTAACAAATATGTCTATTTATATTTACATTTTATAATTATAATTATGTTTAATTAATTTTCAGCAATATTCTAATTTTTTTTTTTCTTTTTTTGATAGTAAGATTTCCAATTTCAGAAGTCTCGAGAGCTTTAACATATTAATAATATGTGAGCACCTCAGAGATGAACTTATTAAGTCACATTTTTTCGAAAAATGAGTTATTGTTATTATAAGATGTTATACTCCAATTTTTACCCAATGGCAAATGTTTTCAATGAATATTTTTATTTCAATAGAGATTTTGACTGTATAAAGTCACATTCATCAAGTAAACAGTGTTAAGTCACATTAAAATCATATTCTGTAATCACATAACTTTATTTTCTGAAACATATCAAAGTTTGATGTTATATCTGTGAATACAAAAAAATCTGTAAATCATTTTAAGTATTTTATTGACATGAGAAAATATAAAAAGCGAAAAATTTCTTTAGATTCTTCTCCTGAAAAATTATGTTTATGTGAAACTTAACACAGTTACCTTTGATGTGCTCATATATTATTTTATCAGGAGACGCGGTAGTGTCTCCGGCTAAGTTAAAAAAATGACATTACTAAGTCTTTTATTCTGCGCCCTCAAACACTGAAAAAAATGTTTTGCTGATGTAGGTAGATTTCTAGATGTCACAACAAAAATGTATCGCTATTTTTTGTATCTGCTAAAATATTGTTTGTCACATCTAAAATTTATAACAGCAACATTCTAGCAATATCTTCTAGAAAATTTAGGTCTCATTGCCAAAAAATAATAATTGCATTGAGTAAATGAGTTTTGATACTGT